GTTTGAAAAGAATATTTATCAATTGTCATGAAGCATCATACTAAATTCTTATTTAATTCTGAAGAGATAAATTAAAGCTAGGGATGAAATTTTTATTGTTCAAAATCATAACTATCAATGAGATTACTAATAATTTAGGGGAAATGCATCATAGTTAAATAAGTTCCTAATGATTGTTTGCAGATGAATTTAGATTTAGAATTAAATCAATAATTAGAGTAATACTTAGTTCTAAAAGAATACATCAAAAATAGATAATAGATCTTTATGTGCATCATTTTCATAACATATATATAGATGGCTAGAAGAAAACTGACAAGCAAGCCGAAAATCTCATAAGCATCCATTTTCAAGGAATAAAAGTACACTTTGACCTAAAATGATGAAATAAAATGCAAGTTGGAACAAAAATATTTCATGCTCAAAATTTAAATAATTTAGGATTGTGTACAGGTTTTATATTAATTATAAAAATAACCATCGAGTTAAAATAAAGATAACATGGGCCATAATAATTCATAAAACAGAAGAATTTCTTTAGTGTTAGTGTTATTGTAGTGCTATTGTTAATGAATATGTTGCTGTTAACCATGTTGCATTTTAATAAAAGAGAGAAGATATTTGTAAAAGAGATTCTTGTTCAACAAACTATAGCGATTATTCTTGTAATCAAGATGAAGCATTATCATTGTTCCTACATCGACTCTAGATTACATTTTAGCAATCAAATATATACGATTATTTCCTTGCAGTAATTTTTGTGTTTACAAAGTTTTGTAACATCCCAGTTACATTCAAGTTACATTTATACAATTTTGTTTAGTTGATTACAATGCTTATAAAGCACTAATACATTGTTGCATCCATCTGATAGACCTATGAGTTAATAACAATTCAGGTGCAAATTAACATCTAATTGCTCAACACTCCTTGAAACTTTTACGTCCAAAATCAACTGTTAATTTTGTATTATAATTGCTGCTATAGTGGCACTACAAGTAATGAACTTTGTAACATTTAACCATGCTTTCACTTGAAATTTTTTAGACTACAATTTTATCTTGGTTGAAGAGTGTTCAACTTTGGCCTAGTAGTTCTTGCTAAGTGACACCAAAATGTCATGCTTGAGCTATTAAGCGACTATTGAGATTGCATTAAATTTCTAACTTCATCCTTTTAGATAATATTATTACACATAGGACATCATAGAGCAAACTGCTTGTTCATCATATATTTTCTTGACATTATGTTTAAAAGAATCAGTACAAGTAATCCTCTACTGATTGTTTAGGGTGTCTCAGTAACATCATTGCTCTTTAACTTCTTGAGTGTCTTATGAATCTCTATATATGCAAAACCTTTTGAATACATGTCCTAAATGTCTTAGTTAATGCGTGCCCATTTTTTATGAGTTTATTATAAACTCTTAAATTTATACACATTAAATACAACCACGATTTACAATTTTAAGAGTGCATTAATTTTATTGACATTATTGTATACATCATGTTGGACTAGTAGCGATTCGCTAGGGGATATTCTCACTATTCCAAAATCGACTTAAATTATTAATTATTACATCTTAATCAAAATAATAATTTTGGTTTGTCTTTCCTACTTACAAATAAATATTTTTCCTATAATTATTAGTTGGTTGATAAGAATTCTCATTATTGTGGTTTTGTAATTATTCCAACTTGACTTAGACAATAATTTTTGCAGGTTGTATTTAATGAATTCTTAATTGTAAATTATGTTGTGTTGGAAATCATATTCAAATCATTATATTTGCTTGTACTTCATTAAGCTAAAATAAGAGCGCTTGCTTGTGTTGCTCAAATAAAAAACACTTGCTCTATTTGCATAACTGTTTATCATCAATGTCTGATCATATTTTGCATGGTAATATGATTGTTATTAATTAGTATCTCTCTCCAGATAAATGAATGGACATCATAATCACAATCAAATAAATCATTAGTAGTGAAAAGCTGACTATTCTACATATGATACTGACTCCGTGTTTTGAAATTCTAAAATCCTAATACTTTTCAATCTGCAGTCCTGCTTCAATTTCACAAGAATTAGATCTCCATAAGGTATATTTGGGAACTTATAGGGAGTAATTTACAAGATAGTTCTACATCCCGCAATATTATTACAAATATATCATCTGTATGTAGATATCTTACTGTGTGCATTCTATATTTGCTATACTCGATGATTGCATTCCTCAACTCTATGTTGAAATATTCGGTAGCCTAATTTATCTATTTTGAATTCTCTGAAAGTTTTAAGATATATGTGAGATTTAATTCAAGCATTAATCTAGTTTGAGGTGTGAAAAAAAAAATTCCAAAAAGTATCAGCAAAAAAATAGAGAAGAAAATTGATTCACTTCTTATTTATTATGCTTGTAATGCCATGATTTAAATGTCTGTCCTATGAATTTCATTACAATAATTTAGTATTTAATATTAATCTTTATTTGAATTAAATTCCATCAAAATTATGCTTAAATTCTATTAAATTCTGTTGTATTATGATGTTGGCCATATACATTTTTATCATTTTAATGGTTATTTCTTTAATATCTCAAAAAAAGAAAAGAAAATCTTATTTTGTGTTCATAATAAATTTAACTATGGCAATTCCAGGCAATGCCCTGTATATGATGGTCTTAAGTGGAGAGAGAATTGAAAAAATTTAATATACTTAATCCTATAGATGAGATAGTTTTCTCGAGTTTAAAGTTTTTCTGATTATTTGATATACGTTAATGAGTTTAAATTGCTTACCTTTAGAATTAAAAATATCAAATAGAAAATACAAAAATGATATGGTTCAAATTAATATTTACAAAGAACTTGAAAGATGATCAATAGTTAATTAGAATGTATTGGCTAAGGTAAAAGTAGTATAAAATTATTGCTTGGGAATTTCAAATTTATTGAAGATTAATCTATCTTTTATTATTTCTCTTATTAATAGGCACATCAATTCTTAGGTGTTAATCTAGAATTTTCAATAAACTCTTTATCTTTTAGGCAGGAAAATAGTTTATCCCATATTTTCTATTCAATAAATCTGAAATTTCCAATCATGTGCTGAAATTTCAGAACACACAGTGTTACTATGAATCCAATATTTAATCATTTGAATCCTGCAATAGATCCAATGGTAATTCAGCTCATCTAATAATATGATGGAATAAATTTTCAATAATTTATTTAATATCATATAGCCTAATTTATTCCATGCGATTATCAATGACTTGTTCTTAATCAGGTATCAATTTAGTAATTGGGTTGATGTAGAAATAGAATTCACCAGTTTTTGGATTATTCCCTATATTGTTATTGCTTACCTATATTGAGTCCTATTCAGAGAAATATATCTCCCTAATTCAAAATAAAAATGATTAATTATATTTGATTTTCTTCTTAAGTAATTATTCTATAAGTATTTAAATAAATGAAAGGGAGGATTACAAAGTTATATACTATTAGACATTCTGATGATTCTCATAAGAAGTTAGAGTCTTTGTTTTATAATCATTATTTGATCTCGCTAATTCTAAGCCTGTTATGGGAATATTGGATATTAAATGAAAAATATTATTGCAATGACTTGAGAATAAGTTATGAAGAGTGAGCAAAAAAGTGATTGTCTCCAGTTTTACACCTATTAAAAATAATTTTAGGAAATCTATATTCTAATAGAAATTCTCTCAAAATGATAATGATCAGACAACTTAAATTACTTAGTATATTAATAAATGAACTTTACCTATTAATGAAACCCTATTTTTATGTTCTTAGCAGTTATAATGTGGGCACTTGTTTGATCAGCAATTAAATATCTCCAATTGGAGAGGTACTAAATCATCTCAGTTTATGACCTCTAAAATAATGGGATTTTCAGCTTTCTTTTGAATTATTCCAGGTTCTAAAAACTTTACCATTTAGCATGCAAAATGTGAATTATGATTATTTTGGTAATTTGACCTAGACGAGGACTCCTTTTTTTTGGAATTCTTAGTTACATACCCAAAAAAACCACTCATATGTTAAACTTAAATTTTTGAATAGTCGTTATTTAAAAAGAGTTCTATCAAATTTTATGAGCTTTGATTCCATTAGATCATATCCTTTTTCTGTTAAGGTGTAACTAAGGTCTTTAATTTTAAACTTAAAATAATAATATGTTGTATTGAATAAACAAGCCAACTATTTATTTATAGATGGCAATTATAAGTATTACTCTGGATTAATTATATCCTTTGATAACTAAAAGTTTGCGGTATTTTAGGAATATAGTAAAATAACATCGAAATGTAAATTAAGAATATTTGAAATTTAACTGCATAAATGTTGTGTGAGGGTTAGTTAGAAAAAGGAACAACATGCTTAATAATTCAAAAAGATAAATAAAAAAATATGACATTTAAGTGATAAATGAAGGTTACACCAAATTATCTCAAATTTGTTTTGAGAACAGTTTCTACAAAACACAGTATAGAGAGAGGCGATGTATAAACCAGAACATGAGTCCATGGTGATAATTTTTATGGTCCAGCACTTCTATTAGTACTTTATGCATGCGTAATATACTCGAAATAATTACATCACACTCTGTAACAGTGTTTGCCATAACATAAACCTTAATAAAAAAATCTGATTTTTGAAGTATTATTATTACCAATACAAATTATTCGAATTACTCAAGTTTCATTCTACTTAGCATTTCAAACATCTACAACAAGCTTGAAAAAATAACAATTGCCTAGAAACATAGTGCAAGTATAAGAAATTTAGATGAAAGCCAAAGCATTCACTAACTGCAGTGTAATTGTAATTAAGATCTCATCATTCATACTCATCAAAAATATCAGTAAATAACATACAGAATGGATAATGACCTTCAATTCTGATTTAAGCACAAAAGTTTGCGTTTCTATTACACTGCTTATAAAGAATTTAAAGTATTATAATGGCAACATACTCTTGCTAGCTTTAAATCAAATAATTAATATGGACTGCTAGTAATGTATCAAGGACTTGGTTAAGATTACTTCTAACCGAAAACAACAATGAATATCAACATTGCTGGTTAGAAAATAGTTTAATAATAGGATCCAGAACAGTATGATTGTTAATCTTTAACACTTGCAAGGAATTATTGATTATTAATGACAGAGAAGAAGTCTGAGATCAATAAAAAGGATTCAATTATCCATTATAACATTGCATGCATTCAAATAATACACACAATGAAAAAATGCAGTTGAATTGAGAATCATGTTGCTATCTTTAAATGTCTTAAATATAAGGTTTAACTCTAGATTAATCTCCAAAAGTTATCCAGACTTTAGCTTTACATTTATTCAATTTGAATATTATTATGCGATGGCTGATGCAGAAATAAAGCAATTTTAAACTAATCATGGATTTTTGTGTTAGAAGGTGATTAAGCTCAATGAAATGATGGTTCAACTTTCTATATTGCAATTGAATAACAATCATGTATAATCCTTCTAAATAATTTTTATTTACCCATCCAACAAAAAACAATAATAGATGTGAAGAATCTGGATATACTTATTTCAGGAGCAAGTAGGTAATAGAGTGAAAAACAATTAAGATTAAAAAGTCCTGTAATGTTGCCCAAACACTCAAAATTGTGCAAAAAATATATTATTAATCAACATATTACTATAATAGCAACATTTGTCATAAGCACTCTTAGATTCCTTATCATTATGACAAAAGCCTTGATTAACTAAATTAATTCCAATCAAAGGTATCAGTCTGAAGTCAATAAGATAAATAACTAGTTAATCTAAATGATTAAAAAATAACAACTAGCCATATTTCTACCTTAGATTTTACATTTTATTTGAAGCACAAAGTATATGTAAAACAACAGTTAATGTAGCGATGTTACAACAGAATTTAGGGAGGTGAAATACAAAATATTCATAATATGCTTAATGCAAAATCTAATTTTAAGTATGGATCGATAATTGAACAAATGCCAAACAGAGATAATTCAAGTAGGACAAAACAATTCTCTCTTTTTTGTCAATAGACCGTAATTGCTTCCAAATTATTCTTAAAGATCTTATGTCAAGACGAGTTCTTACAATCCAGGCACTTTTTTATCATCCCTTTCAATAATGTGTGTTTTCATGTATTTTTTTGCTCCACCTGACTATTCAATCTAATAAAAAACAAAAAGAATCTGAATTACTACAATTTATTAGCATACTCCATTATTTGATGAAACCATTGTCCTAGGCTGACTTAAGGTGTGAAATATCTCAATGCTCTTAATCCAAATAGTTAAGCCTGAGAAGGTTAATTTCAATTTAAATAAAATGTGAATGTGATTATCTTGATTCTCTTAAATCAAAGGGGTGTAGTTATAATCACCATGTTAGAAGTTTCAGAAATAATATCTAACAGAAAAACCACAAAGATTTATATTTCTCTCAATAATTACTTCATTTTCAATTCAGAATGATTATTCAGATTATAAATTAGTTGTTCTAAATTAGATTCAGCGAAAATGCAAATTTCTCATTTAATATTTATTTAATCCTAAGATTGGCAACGGGTAGTTATATCAATTTAAATACTCTAGTAATATTATTAAATAGTACCCTACAAAGAAGAAAGTAGGGACCAAATCGCTGAATAAACTTTATATCTTGAAAAAAAATTTGTATATTGTTAACAGATTTTTATGGAAAATAAAAATACTTTTTTAATACTAATGAAGGCTACATTTTGACCTTGCCTTTAATTAATTTATTCATATTTAACTTTAGATCTCAAAATAGTATTCCTATTATTACAGATATTATTTGTATCAGATGCAGTCAGAAATGCAAAATGTAATATTTAAATGATAAAGTAATTAAATATTCTTTGAATGCCCGCAGGGTGGAATAGAAAAAATATGTCAGGAGTTATATAATTTAGGGCAAATTTCTGAAGTAGAATTTATACTCTTAAATACAGCAAGAGAGGCAAGAATTAAAAGACTACAACAATTTATATCAATCAGCCTTAGTGCAGGGAGTCAAAGTAAAACCAACTATTGAAATTATACGAATACAATATTTAGGGATAAAAAAACCCTAAAAGATTGCTTGAAAATGTTTCTTGTACAAAAGTAAAACTGAAATTATGAAATATATACATTTCTATGAATGCATTTAATAAATTCACAAAGTGGTTCTTTACACTTTATTGAGATTTTAAAATAATTTATGAACAAATTTATCTGTAAGGATAATTTCTATAATCTAATCAATGGCTTTAAGATTTAAGATGAAATTTTTATAATGAATTGATGGATAATACCCTATGTACGGTAATTACCCTTATTAAATTTTAATCTAAGGGGGAAACGTGAAGTGTGATGTATGGTGATTGCATGATGATAATTAACTGTTTTTTAAGTTAAGATACAAGGTTTTACCAGAATGCCTTTTCTAACAATGTCTGGACAAATTTCCAAATTATGTCTAATTTAAGACTAAATATTTACATTTTATGGTCTTCCACAATAATGAGCGAACTTCTTCTTAAGACAAATCAAACAAAGGTATTGATTCTGCTCCTCATTCTCCATTCTCTACAATGGCAAAAATTTACATTTTTGTTTTTAGCAAGGTGAAAGATAATATCTTAATAAAAATTTTGAAGTTCAATTGAAATTTGTTTATATAATGTTATTTTAAGTCCTTACTTATTCTTTCTAGATCATATGGCAGTGACTTTTATTCAATTTATGAAATGATTAGGTTTTCGGTCAAAGCTTGAATTATCGCCGATTGATTAATGTTGTTATTAAATATTAAACACAATCCTGATTCTAAATCATTAATGTTATTTTACTTTATCATAAATTGCAATATTAAATTTAAGATTCTAACAAGGGTCTATTAATCATTTTGAACTACTTCTTCTAAAACAGTAGTTTAATTGCTTTAAAACAGTATTCTTAATAGAGCTAAGACATCTTATAATAATAAATGGGTGTTTTTCAATTTAAATTTGTTTAAATCACTCAGCAATTAAAATAAAAAGCTACAAAGAACTTATGAAAAAATTTCACCAAGAAGTTTTGGAATTTCTAGTTCTACTTAAAATCTTTTATAATATTCCATCAATTTTTTAGATGTAATTGTACCTAAAAAGAAATCCAAATTTTCGATTAGAATCTAATCATTTGCAGTTTTAATATGCATTGGACTTACAAAGGGAAAATTGTATGGAGTAAGCAGATTGGGCATCTCAAATATTAAAACTCACTTATGTTATACTTTTATTCATTCTAGAATAAGCAGTATTTATGAAAAGTGTATTAGCAGCTTGACGCCACAATTTAGAAAATGTCTGTTTATTAGTTTGTCGGTATTTTTTAGGGCATCGCATTAATATGTTTATTAATATTTGTATAAGAAATCAATAAAGCACTATATTATATTTCTTATTTTCAAATTGCAATTAGCATAAAGAGCAATTGTCATTATTCATTTCATGTGGAACTTCTGCAATTTGATTACTTAATGCTGATCCCATATTTTCAAATTTATTCTAGACCTTTCTCTCTTCAATAGTTATGATTTACAGGCTCTTTAAGCATCATTTTCAACTTAGGAGGAATTTAAACTAAAGGTTTCGCCAAGTTATCTTGCAAATATTTCATAAATGGTGTATTATGTTTAAGTTAAATTAACATCTTATATGATTTATAAACAGATTGAAAAAATACTACTCCAATACTCTTAGAGAGTTTATTTGTGTTTTTAAAATGTTTATACATAAACAAACTAAGTTAATGTAGACAGAATAATCCTCCAATATTTAAGAAATATTTTAAATTAGTCCCAACTCCTGTTAACCTTGTATTTATTCAATAATATTTTGAAGTACTTATTATTCTTGGTCTAAAACAATGGCTTTAAGAATGGCTAACCTCTTATATGTTAATGTTGATTTGTGTTCATTTATTTGGGATAGTTCATTAGCTAGAGCAGTTCCAAATAACTCAGATTATTTGTCATTTTAGGTTTTCAATTTTTCTGTTATTTATTCTTTTAGTACTAATACCAATGAAGCAAAAATTGGTTCATATTAAACAGGTTAAAGCGATCTTTCTAATTACAATTATTCATGATCTTTATTTAATTCACAAGAAACCAAAATAATATTTAATAAATCCCAGCTGCTGTCATAACTAAACTTTTTCAAAAGTTCTCGAAGATCATTCACTTGGTAAAATGACTAAGCGAAGAAGATTGTTTGGAATATATTGTTTAAGCCTTTTAAAACTCATTTCCAAAAATGTCTCCTACACATTAAATCAGATCATAATCAGTTTAAGCTATTCTACAAATAAGAAATTAAGGATCAGATTTGTAATCGAAGAATTTTGCAATTTCTTTATAACTGGAGACAATATCATTTATTCCCAGAGAGCCAAATAAAAAGGCATATAGTTAAATATAAGCTACATCTTGTTCAAGTGATACTTCTTTTGGTTTCATTTCTTCCTTATACAATTTCGCTTAGCCCTTATAGAGTTTTGGAATTCCACACTTTAAAAGTACAATGTTACTAAGTAAAGTTCTTTTTAACAGGCTCAACAGAACTTATCTAAATTACTCTGGGGCTAGGTTACTAGTTCTTAATAAATCCTCATAGGCCTCTTGAGAGCCAAAGTCCATCAAAAATATTGATAGTAAAGTTATAAAGTTCCTATCACAAATCACTAAATTTTACAAATAAGTTTATAATGTGGATTCTTTTGTTAATGAAAAAGATGTGTCACAGTTGTTGAAAAAATAGTTAATTGACAATCTAAATATATTCTATAATCCAGTCCTATTTTATTTATTAGAATCCCTCCAAGCTTCAACTATCATGGACAATAACTTTCGATATCCTTAAAGCAGAATAATTTGATTTTCCTCTGATATCTGGAATTTACTTTATTCTTATGGCTTGAGGAGATGAAAGAGATTTACTTCAGTTTATTTACAAGGATATATTTTAGTTAAGGTGTGTATTAATAAGGAGGTACTTTAAAGTTCATTAAATTGTAAATTATTGGGGTATATTGAAATTAGGTTAAAACAGTTGCCTTAATTGGAGAGAATCTCTAAATTTATTCAAATAGTTGCTTAACGACATCATCATAAAACTATGTTAGAATCAAGTTATCAAACTATAAGCAGAAACTTTGCGTTTCTTAGTTACATAAAGTAGTTATTTTGAGAAAATGTCAAACAAAGAATAAACCCATGATGTGTTAAATTCTTTATATAAGCTTAAAAGAATAAAATCTATATACCCCGCAAATTGATAGAAATATTCAAATATAGAGGCCCTTTCCACATTGTTTTCGCAAAATTATTTTTGAATATTCTAATTTTTAAGAAATTTCTGAAAGATCTCATTTAGTTTCTAGTCTGCAGAATAATTTGCTTTATTAATTTAAAACTTTATTTCTTAATTATCAGCTGTTATTAATTTGTAAACTTAAATTGGATTTTACAAGTGATTATAATGAATCAAGACTTCATTGTATAATTAGGTTGAATTTCTCATCAACATGCAATTCATAAATAAATCGGAACTTTAATTTTTTTCATCATCATCAAAAAAAAATCTTGAAAAAAAAACACATTATGTTTGACAAATAAGTTTAAGATACTGCATTTGCAAAGTTATTATTGCGTTTCTAGTCTAAAGTTTGCAAATGGATCATTGGAATGTGCATGATATAGTTTTATAAATTGTTAAATGTATTCATCGATAGGTATTTAAAGAAATTTGCTGGTTGTATTACTTCAAGGGGTGTTATTTTAAGTTACAAATTTAATGACTTTGAAAATAAGTGTATACAATTTTAGCCTTCTTTGAGTGCTTTTTCATGTAAGAAGAAATCGCGCATATTCTCATTCATAATATTTTCAAAATTTAGATGGCATCTTAGAACTGCTACATCGTTTTACTGGTATAATCAGCAACTTTTTAGGTCTGTTCAAACAACAGTTCAAATGACACCATTATAAAATATCTAAATCTCTCTACCAAATTTTCTATGTAGATTATATAATTTAGTACCTCCAAATAATTATTCAGGAATTGGTGTTTCTAATTGTTATTATGAATGTCTATTTCAAAAGGAGCTCTTTTTCAAAATCAATGTAGAATTAATAAATATTATTAATTTATAAAATATTTATCTTAACTACATCTCCACAATCACAACATCCTATATTTGCGTAATGATATGTCACTACATGATCTTATGTAAAATAATAATAATACTCTAATGTTATTGTGGAATGCAGCATTCTTAGCAATATATATGAGTAGGCTCTTTGCTACAATCAAAACATCTGTAAAACAAAGCATTTTTAGGAAGATGAGCAGAACAAACAGTTCTAAATCCTGTTCCTTAGAATCTGATAATCTTATCTTCAAATTCCTAATTGGTCAAATTTAGGACCTATTATACTAATTCAAAATCTTGTTTTCCCAATTGTGAGTTGGCAGTATTCAAAATTAAGTTAATCAACTTTTAAATATCCATTTAGATGTTACTTATGTAATAATTGTTAATGAAATTCATTTCTTTCGTATTAAAACAAATTATGATTAATTTTGATATCGAAAATATTATAATCCTTTGAGTAATTTTCATAAATTGATTTATATTTGTCTAAGTTAAATAAATAAAAATTCTTTCATTATGTTAACTTATTATATCCTATTTTCCAAAATTTTTGTAAATTAGAAGATTTATTGAGCGTCATAATATTATTTCGATTTTTAGAGGAGACTTTGATTATTTTAATATATAAGAGTTATTTAGTTTACAATTATTTTA